AATATAAATATAATAAATATATGAATATAGATGTATATATATGAATCTATAAATATGTGTATGTGGATATATATATATATATATATATATATATATATATATATATATATATATATATATATATATATATATATATATATATATATATATATATATGCATGTGTATATGCATATGTATATGCATATGTATATGCATATGTATATGCATATGTATATGCATATGTATATGCATATGTATATGCATATGTATATGCATATGTATATGCATATGTATATGCATATGTATAGGCATATGTATAGGCATATGTATATTTATCTATATGTATGTGTATGTACATATATTTGTATATAGATGTGTATATGTATATGTATATATATGTATATTTCTATATGCATATATATACTTATTTTTACACACACACACACATATATATATATATTTCACTTACCAACAATAGCATCAAGTGCAAAAACTGGAGAGAGAGCACTAGCATAGTAACTGAGTTCAATTATATTTGGCAGGAGTGTTATTGGCTTGATCACAACCTCTGTTCCATCAGTAGATTTAGATTCCTCTACTCTGACAAGACCAGCTCCTAATAATCGCACCTGCAATAGGATTCCTCAATTAAGTATGCTTTTGTTCTGTTGAGCAAAAATATTTCACATGCTGAAATTGAGTACATGACTAAAGTGGAATTGCTGCAAGGATTATAAAATTCAGGCAGACAACTTTAATTACTATGGACAACAAAACAAAAGATTTACTTGTAAACTTACAGCATGCTTAACAATATCTTTTGAACTGCCTGAGAATCCAGTGTCACGCTCCTTTGTCCTTAAGGACTCTCGCAAAGCATCAAGAGCCTTAACCAGGGTTGAGCGTGTAGTGCCCTCACGGTAAACAAAGAGCAATAGCCAAGCAACAGCATTTGTTGACATAATAGCTTGGCATCGTTCAGCATCTAGTGGAAGAAAATCATATCAATCCTCCCATTTGATTTGAAAATAAAGAGAAAAAGAAATCACAAAATTTAAGGAAAATTACAAGTCTTATTGTATGGAAACAACACTCACCATAAACAATATGCTGCGATAGTGCCTTAATCAGGGATCTGTATTCTTCAGTAACTTCAGAACCAAACAAAGAGGAGCTGCTGCGGGCTCCATGGAGATTGTTACATGAGCGATTGACTGCATTAATGTTGCTGGAAGGATTGGAGGAGCTCCTCTTCAGTGTTAGGTGATTATTTGTTGCTGGACTTGATAAAGATCTTTGGTGCCCTTTTCCTGTGACTGAGAGGGAGGATGCATCTAAAGGATGTGGAGGTAGAGTCTGTGGACCTTCATCTGATGGTGGAGTAAGGCTCAGTGGACTAGGAGAGTTTGGAGGAGTGCAACCAAGAAGTGGCTGGCTGTGAGGCTGATTGGCAGTCTGATTCTGGGGCTGACTAATGGTAAACTGAGGTATGACAATCTTGCTGTTCTGGACAAACTCTCGCAGGCTAAATGGCTGTGCAAAGTCGATTCTTGCCTGACCATAGTTAGTTGACAGCACTTTTATTATTGCCCTTACTGCTCCCCAAAATGATTCAGGGACCTGTGAAGAGAATGGAAATTCTAATAATTGTATGTGATCTAAACTCCTAAAATATTCTTCTCAAACAAAAGATACTGATTCACATGAATAGCACACACAAAATTCTATTGCATTTCCTTCAAATATACATGTAAATCCTGTTCACCAGCTTGTTCCCATAACTTTCCTTTAACCCAAACATCCCAGATTTATATTGTCCCCTTTATTTTTTGTGAATTTTGTTACACATGTGTTCAGCCATACATGGCAAGAATACATGCCTTCCAAACAATATAGAATTTCATAATTACCCAACACAAGCTATTCCTATTCACATATTCCATAACCATGACAATAAATTAGCAATGATCATTTCCTATTAGCCTATTAACAAGTTCACAGGCCATCCATTTATTTTTTATGACTACTTTGCATCACAAAAACTGAGAGGCAACACCAAAGTAATAATGTAAATAAAAGAGAAATCCAATTACTGAAAAAGTATGCTTACCTTGCTTTGTCCCATTTGTTCTCGGATGAAGTTTCCATCAAGCAGTTTGTCATAATTAATGGCAATAGGAACAATAAGAGCATCATCCAAGGTGCCATTCATATAAGCATCTACTATAACACTCAACAAACCCCCTGAAAAAAAAAAATAAATAAATAAAAATAAATGCATAAAAATTAGTATGATCAGTTTCTACACATATATGTTCTTGTAAATCATGGTCAAAGCCAGCTTGTGAATTCATCAGGATATCCTCAATGTATAATACAAGCAAATGAATTATAAACCATAAAGTATATTAACCTGGATGCAAACAATGGGTGGATTAGAACACATACTTATAAAATACTATAGTTCTACTTGTTGTCTTAATGGATTAACAATTCATTTTCTAGATTTTAGTGAGATTCTACTAATTCCCAAAGCTTGTCAAAACAAAATAATGCCTTTCTAGAAGGGTGTGGCCATGTTTCCCTTCATACATTCTTATAGGTAAAAGTATAGTCTTGCTTACAAAAGATATAACATGGGCAATAATGATTACAAATGATGTATTGTTGCAAATTCTTTTGAAAACTAAAGAAAATTTACAGTTAATATAAATCTGGAGTTATGATGACCATTATTCCCTGCTTTTTGGCCAAGCAAATACTGTTAAAAAATTACATAATAATGCTATGCTCTGCCTCTGTCACTATCAGATAAGTTTATCTTTAACCCCTTGGTGCCGGGTGACGCCGATCGGCGTGTACACAAAGAGCTCGAAAGCTGCGAGCCAGTGATTCAGGCTGATGTCCCCTACTCACGCGCTCAAAGTCGGCGCGCCGCCTTTGTTTGTTTAAGCGTAGAGTTTTTTTTTTTCTTTTGTACACCCGGCGCCATTGGGTTAATTTGTCCAGAGTGGGAAGCACAAGAGAATGGTACCATTAAATGAACAGTCTAATATCAAAGGTCACCCATATACTTCAGAGTCTAACTGCTGGACTTTTATGCCAAGAAGGTATTCCTATTATGCACAATTCATAAAAAAGACAAATGACAAGATAACTTGCTACGTACCTGACAGCTCAATAAGGTAAGTCTTACTGGCACTGGGTACATGCATTGTTCCCTGCAATTTTGTTTTATGAATTTTGTCTATACACAGATGGTTCCATAGGCACTTTGTCATCAAGATTATTGATATGCCCATTCCTTGAATTTTTTTTTTTTTTTTTAATACTTTTACTTTCATTACTGTTATTATTTTTATCATCATCATTATTATTATTATTATTAATATTGTGATTATTGTAATGTTATTAACCCCTAGATGATGAGTGGGGAAGAAGAAGAAGAAGAAGAAGAAGAAGAACAAGAACAAGAAGAACAAGAAGAAGAACAACAACTTTACGCACTGGAGATAAATGGCAACACGCTGACTTTAACCCATTCGCGACAGGTAAACATGAACAAAAAATGGGGAAAATGCTGTGCTCATTTCTTATGTCTCTACACTAGATGGCTCTGCCTTACCTGATTTCACCTTTACTTGAATTGCCGGGAAAATGTATTTTTACTAGTGCTATGAATATCAATGGTTATTTTTATTATAAACATTATGATTACTATATTGTTATAAACATTAGTAACAGCAAAATAAGATGATGCAAAATATTTTCGTAATTTAAAGAAAAGGGTAAATGGACAAGACAGGCAGTACAAGTGTAGCCATCTATGTGTAAAAACAATTAACCCCTTCACGACGGGTGACGCCACTAGGTGTGAAAACAAACCGCTCGTAACGTGGCGTGCGGCTTTACGTCGCGGTGGTGCGCCAGAGCACAGCAAGCCAGTGATTCGGGCTGATGTACCAAACTCACGCGCTCAAAGCCGGCGTGCTGCCACTGTTTGCCAGAGCATAGAGTTTTTTGTTTTGTTTTTTTGTTTTCTTCACCCGTCACTATTGGGTTAAACAAGCAAACTCACAGTGGGCATACCACATATACATAACACCCATCGAGAGTGAGTTAAGCGTGGGGGTTTGGTACATCAGGCCGAATCACAGGCTCATAGCGCTTTGGCGTGCCGCACGCCACAGATCGAGTGGTTTGTTTTGACGCCTCATGGCATGACCTGTCGGGAAGGGGTTAACTAGAAAAAAGAGATTTCCAAAATCTAAGAAAATAAACAGGCAAGATTAGGTAAGCCTAGTAATTGACTCACTGGTGACAAAGAACTTATGATGCTATCTATGTGTAAACAAAATTAATACACTAAATTCACAGTAAACTGGTTATGTATGTACATGCCTTACTGGAGTCAATGAATCTGATCAAGAAATATTGCAGCTTATGTAGACTTTGTGTGTGAGGTGTTAGCTGTATGCGTTCTCTGCATATCTATATTAACCACTGGATCTGGGTGACATGACTATCATCTCATGAAAAAAACTTAGCTGATGGCCTGGGTGACTGAAATAATGACATGAAAAACTTTGGCCATAGGCCGGTGTAATGGGATTACCTCTCAATGCAAGCAAAAAGCTCTTGGAGGAAGACTAGGGTCAGTGGGACTTTATGAGGGGTCTCTTGCACTATTTCAACCAGTAAATGTGGACTGAATGCACCATCCATGTCATGGCTGGAGGAGCACTGGCTGTAGGGAGGACACCTTTTCGGTGCTCAGATTCCTATTCCTGCTTACCATGACTGATGATGCAGAGTGTGTTGCAGAAAACCGAATAATAAAAAAATAATAAAAAATTAAAGAAATAGCAAAATGTTCCTAAGTGTTACTGCACAGAGTTGTAGACTACTTAGATGACTTGGAGTGTGTGCAAGGAAAGCACTAATGACAAACATAGACCTTGGAAAATAGCAAAAATGAAGACATACTGGAAAACAGATAAAAAACATTACAAAGGGGAGG